CTCTCTCTCTCTCTCTCTCTCTCTCTCTCTCTCTCTCTCTCTCTCTCATACGAGGAAATACGTTATATTAAAATATAAAGCCTTGTCAGAAAAATTTACAGAACAACAAAACAATAGGGAGTTTTTGCAATACCGTGTCTGAAAGAACCGTATTGCAAAAACTCCCTAATGATACGATACGCGTCATACGTTAATGCAATATATAAAATATATTTAAATGCTTATGGAACTTAATTATATAGTATAAAAGTACATTTTCTCTTATTCCTCTCAACATAAAAGATCCCAACATGAATACGCTGTAATTATCCCAGCCAGAATGCTGATGTCGATTCGACATCAATAAATGTCAAATTGACATCTATATATAGATATCAATTCGACGTCTTTAAATGTCAAATAGATATCAGCGTTCTGGCTGAGATAAGCTTAGCTTATAATTATAACTGTGATTATCGCTCAACTTATAATCGTAAGCGATGTTAGTAAAGCTTCTACAGAAACGTATTTTCAACAGATATCTATTTCTAATTTCACGAAACGGTATCTATTGGTTCCTGGACACAGGACACGACAATGCGGCAAAGCGGTGACAGATCATTGTCTCGCTTTTCCGGAAGTAATAGATATATAACTGACTAATATAAAGTGGTGATTGCACGGTCACCGCTTTGCCGCTTTGCCGCATTGCCACGCGTATTCTGTGTGCAGGAGCCATATCACATTGCATATTAGAACGACGCTTTAAAACAGTATCATGAGAAAGAATAAGAACACGTATTACATATCAAAATCAATATTACTGCAGAATAGCTACAAAACACATAGAAATATTTTTTATTCAATATGACGTTTCGTTAAACATTTCGATTTCAGACGCCATACGTTGAGAGTAGAACAGCTTACTATCGCGAGAGTGTCATTCAAGTAGTCCATCTGCAACATGAAAAATTACATATAATATTTAATGCAATGTACAATACTGCAAGATAAAACTTGTAAGAATGTCGTTTTCAACTGTATTTTTATTTACTAATTTACATCGATCAATTGATACGCGTATTAAATGGTAAATAACTAGTAAATTAGTTGGATTATATTGGCTGATCAGCTCAAATATACCTACTATTTAATACGCGTAGAGATCGGTGTAAACTAGGCTTTTATACGTAGATACTTAACGAATCTTTTCATCAAAGTCAATGATACATTTTCGACAAATCTTACGCGTGTAATACTCACGCTGCCGTTATTTCCGTATTCTACAAGTTTAGTAGCGATGAGCTTTGGTGGATCCGTAGGGCTCGAAATTCTGACCATGCCGTTTTTGCAACTCGTTATCAGGCATCCGTGCGTCAGAATCACCCCCGTTATCGGATCATCGGGAGAATACTCATGCTGGGTGGAGTAATATTTCACTAGCTCAAAATTGTTCTTTGGATTTAGCATGTACAACTTCGCCTTGGTGTCCCCGACGCAAACCCAATTATCCCGTCGCATACTCATGCACGTGGGGATCGCTTCACCTGGAATCTAAAA